CTAACGGTCCTTATGCAGTCTCTGTAAAAATATGGAAAGGACCCCTGGAGGTTTACTTTCCTGAAAAAAGTGTGTTATGTGTCGGAACCCTGGTGGTGGGTTGCGGGATATCAAGGAGGGGCACACTGGGGCAATTTCAGTCCAGCAGGCTGGAGCCAATCATGGAGCAGCACAACAGAGGAAATCAGGTGTCAGGCTAGAAAAAGGTGCAAGTGTGTGGTTCATTAGGCTGCAAGAAATCATGGAGGAGCACACTGAAGCGCACGCTTACAAACCACTGGTAAGTGCTGACTACAAGTCATGACTTCAAATTGTTATATAGAATGATTACAAATTATTTGTTGTTTGTGCAGCTTAGTCAAGAGTCCCTAATTGATGAAGTCGACTCAGATTCTGACGATTTAACTGTCAAGAAGAAACCTGTAAAAAAGTATGGAAAAAGAAAAATCAAAAACACTTTTCTTCAAGACTCGGAAAGTGACGAACCAAAGGCAAATAAGATTGTTATCATGCAGCTGCAAAAGAAGAAAAATGGGGGGCGAGTATACAGCAAGAGACACTTCTGCCTCTACTGTTCAATGTCCTGCCACAAAATGTCCCGTCATTTGACTAGAAAACATGGAAATGAAAGTGACGTAGCCAGAGCATTGGCTCTACCTGTGAAATCTAAAGCACGTAAACTTCAGTTTGATTTGATCAGGAATAGTGGAAACCGTGAGCACAATTTTGAGGTTTTAAAGGCCGGCATTGGAACTTTAGTCCCAGCTAAACAGCCAAATTCCCCAGTTAAATCCAGTGAGTTTTTGCACTGTATAGACTGTGGGGCATTGCTTAAGCGAAAGTCGCTGTGGAGGCATGTGGCCAGGTGCCGGCTTTCACAGAAAGATGCCCAGGCTAAACCAGGTAGAAGTAGGGTCCAGTCCCTCTGCTCCCTAGCCCAGCCTGTACCGGAGGGCATCAGCAAAAAGCTGTGGTCTTTAATTTCGGCAATGCATCAGGATGAGGTCACGGGTGTTGTCAAAGCAGAAAAGGGGATTCTGAGACTCGGAGAGCACCTGTACTTAAAACACGGGCATGATAAGACAAAGCATGATTACATTAGGCAGAAAATGAGAGAAGTCGGTAGGTTAATTAACGAAGCAAAAACCGCAGGGAAACTGAAAACAATTAAGGATTTCTTTATTCCTTCCAACTTTAACCATGTGATTGATGCAGTCAGGTCTGTGGCTGGATATGATGAGGAAACAAATCAATACAAGACTCCATCCTTGGCCCTCAAACTCGGCCATAGCCTCAGAAAGCTAGCAGATATTCTTGAATGTGACTCAAAAATGGAGCATTGTGTTGATGAACTATTTATTAAAAACCTCCAACGAAGCCGGCTGCTTTTTGAGAAGAGGTGGGACGTCTGTGTTTCTTCTGCTGCCCTACAGACCCTCCGGCAAGCCAAGTGGAACACTCCGGACCTGCTCCCTCTGACTGAGGACGTTAGAGCCATGCATGCACATATTGAGGTATGTCGACCTGAATATGTGCAAACCCTAATAAGTGAGCCAACGTCTAAGCATTGGTCTAAACTGGCAGTTTTGACTCTTTGTGAGGTCATCATTTTCAATCGAAGAAGGGAAGGTGAGGTTTCAAAGATGCCACTGACAGCCTTTACCTTAAGAAGTAAGACTGGGATCCATTCTGACATTGCTCTGGGACTGTCCCAACTTGAGAAAAAGCTGTGTCAGCATTTTCAACGCATTGAAATTAAAGGGAAAAGAAGTCGGAAAGTGCCGGTTCTTTTGACTCCTGAAATGATTGCTTCGATGGAGGTGCTGGTGGAGAACAGAAGGGCCTGTTCCATCTCTGACCATAACCCATACTTCTTTTCCCGCCCGGGCGCAGACACCCACATCAGGGGATCAGACTCCCTACGCCAGGTAGCCAAAGAATGTGGTGCGGTGCATCCAGAGATGCTATCCTCAACCAAACTTAGAAAGCACATAGCTACTATGTCTACAGTTCTCAATATGAAAGAGAATGAGATGGACATACTTGCCAACTTCCTCGGCCATGACATTCGCATCCACAGGCAATATTACAGACTACCAGAGGGGACACTGGAGCTGGCCAAAATCAGCAAAGTGTTGATGGCCATGGAGCAGGGAAGAGTGACGGAATTCGAAGGAAAGAGCCTCGACCAGATACAAATTGAGCCTGAAGGTAATTCTTGATATTATTAAAATATGTATGATTTTTTTCCCCTAAAGGCCACTTGTATTTTTATTTTCTGTGCGACAGGGAGAGCAGTAGAGATCCTCTCACAAACGGACGGGCTAAAAGAAACTTCAAGCGGAGAACCTTCAACCATTCATCCAGATGCACCCCATGGTAGTGGCAGTGCCCCTTCTGGTAAGTGTACCAGGTGGGGGATTACAGCCAGGCTGCTTGGTCCTCACCCTGGGAGTGTATATTGCTAATATATTTTTATTTCTCTCCCTAGAACGTGTAAGAAAGCCATGGTCTGCATCTGAGGTGAAGGCTGTGGAGAAGACCATGACACCTTTCATACAGACTGGAAAGGTCCCTGGGAAGTCTCACTGCCTGGCCTGCATTAATGCCTCACCAGATGACCTTAGACATCGGACATGGAGTGGCATTAAATTCTATGTCAAAAATAGAATCACTGCAATTCGAAAACAAAATCTAAAATAAAATTCCTTTAAAATAGTTGTTTGGTTTCTATTGACTGTTTTGTATTACTTAAAGTCTTGGTAAAAAAAGATTATGTCTATGGGTCCCATTCTGAACGGCCCTGTCAAAGGGACCCACCAGGTAACAAAAACGTGTATGTGTGGGTGTGCAGAAAGTGTTTTGAGAAAAAAATCCAAGTGTTTAGGCTGTAGGACCAGGCACACGTTGAAAATCAGACTAAGTGTTTTGAGAAAAAACCTAAGTGTTTAGGCTGTAGGACCAGGCACACTTCGAAAATCAGACTAAGTGTTTTGAGAAAAAACCTAAGTGTTTAGGCTGTAGGACCAGGCACACTTTGAAAATCAGACTAAGTGTTTTGAGAAAAAACCTAAGTGTTTAGGCTGTAGGACCAGGCACACGTTGAAAATCAGACTAAGTGTTTTGAGAAAAAACCTAAGTGTTTAGGCTGTAGGACCAGGCACACACTGAAAATCAGACTAAGTGTTTTGAGAAAAAACCTAAGTGTTTAGGCTGTAGGACCAGGCACACTTCGAAAATCAGACTAAGTGTTTTGAGAAAAAACCTAAGTGTTTAGGCTGTAGGACCAGGCACACATTGAAAATCAGACTAAGTGTTTTGAGAAAAAACCTAAGTGTTTAGGCTTATTACGAGCCACTAGGTGGTGGTGTCCAGGAGTGTGGCTCAATAACAAAATTAAAACCGGGTGTGGAACAGAGACGGGAGGCGGAGGTCCAAAAAGTAAAAGGTTTATTAAAAGAGGTGCAAAAAGAACCACTGTTTAATCACAAAACAAAATGCTCCAAAAGAGGTGAGGTGCAGCGACAAGACCCACTGGTCCAACGGGACGGTCGAAGTTGCAGAGAGAGAGTCAGCCTGGTCTCGATCCCGGCCCTTTATACCTCCCAGCAGATTACCCACAGGTGTGAGTGGGACGTCACTCAGCTGGAGGTGGGAGGGTCTGAGAGGTGGAGGCAAGGAGAAACAAAACACCAAAACCAAAAGGACTTTGTCCGTAACACCTCCCCCCATAAAAACTAAGCTCTACTCCTCGTTAACAGGAAAACAGGTTCTTCTGTAAAACACAAACTAATTCACAAAGTGGGAAAGGATATGGGTGCCACCACCACCACCCAAGTGGTAATGCAAGTCCCCTGTGACGCCAAGAGGCCTCAGCCACAACATGGTCCTTTCCACTCCAGTGCTGATACGAACGGTGTAGTCTACAGTCAGCAGCGCCCCTGCAGCAGCCGTTGATCCGGGTTGGACATCAGGGCCAGGGAAACCAGGGTGTTGTGGTCTGAAAAGAAAGTTACCGGGACACAAGGCGACCCAACAAAAAATGTAGGCGCTGCAGAGCCAGCAGCATTGCCAACGCCATGCCCATGAAGGACAAAAACCGAAACACACCAGGGTCAAACTGTCTGATTTCGGTAGAGACCTCGTCAAGCAGTTTGGTTGGTCCAGGTATGCCGCAACTTAACACAAGTCCAGCCAGACTGAACTTGCGACCAGCTTTCTTATCTGTGGGTGGAGGGGACACAAGTGATTAACTCTGGCTTCTCAATGTAAACCGTGGTGTTATCAGTCCGTCCACACGAGGGCGCACCAACACCTGCAAAATCAGGAGCAAGCACAGAATTAACTCTTTCAGACTGAGCGTGGGTCAAAACGCTCATGGGACACACTTTTCCACCTGCACTGTCATCCCACATGATGGACTCCACCCCATCAATTGGAGACTGGTCACGAACAGCTATAGGGAAAGCTCCAACTACGTGCGCGGGACTAACATAAGCACTATGAGCCTTGGGCCACGACTCATAGAACCGCAAAATAGCACCTTTCACACAGTCATAGTCCAACATGTCTGAGACTGCCAAAGATGCACACGCTTCAGACGCCCTGCCACTTAGGTTGCACTGCAGAATGATTGCCCACACATCCCTAGGCCAGTGTAATGCCCCTGCAATGCGCTCAAAAACACAAAAATAGGACTCAACCTCAGTCTCACGGAAAGTTGGGACAAGCGGGATATTTTGAGTCACGTCAAACTCAGGCGCACTGACCACAGGTGACGAGGAAACTGGACTGCGACCCGCTGATTGCAACTCCAATTGCCGCATCCTAAGCGCAGCGTCAGCCTCTATCTTTTTAAAGGCCACTTCGCGAGCAGTAACAGCCTCCGCTTCAATACGCTTTAACGCAATCTCACGCTTTAGCTGAAACTCACGCTCCTCCTTCTCCCTCTCGTACTTTAAACGAGCAATGCGCACATCCACGAGCACATCACGGGGAGAATGAACCAGGCTCAGAGACTTCACCTCAGTCTCTTCAAACGGCGCAGAAGGAGAGCCCACCTGTGGCTGCTCCACGCGCTCTACACCAGGACGCACGGGGGACATCACTGTATCTCCCGCCGTCACCCGTTCAAGCAAATCCATTTTGCTACACAAAGTCAACGCCACTTGCGTTGGTTCAGCCACCAAGGCTTCTAAAACAAATGTAGCCATCACTCACCGGACGTAAAGTAATCACGGATCCTGATCACAGCTGATCCCACTCACAGCTGACCACACCTGCTCTCCACAACTACACGCCCCCTGGGATGTGCCAAGTACGCGCCCGCACACAGCTGCGCTCAAAACTTACGCACACCCACGCACACTCATGGGGAGTTAAAGGCGCTATACCCGTTTCTGCAATGTTTGAATGTTTAGCACCGCCCCCCCAACTCGCTCAATGGCTTCTCATTTCTCATAACACAGAGCCACCTAGTTTTATTTGCGATCTGATACATATGCTAACATTAGCATTAGCGCAACTTCTTGTAAGCTGTGCAACAATCACTGATGAAATGGCACTAAAGCAACGCACTGCTAACACAATATATAAGTAAAAGAATACCGCTAGTTTCGCGTCCGAATGTATTGATTTAAAACCTTAGAATATATTCTAATATTTAATTATAATTTGTTATAGAGCTCCTCAAAGCAGCAGCAGCAATTCTTCCGATCATTTTTCTTGATAACAGAACTCTCAAACCAATAATGATCGCAGCCCCAATGCAATCTCTGTTTGTAATTCAGGTGTGTAAAATACTGCCATTACTCTGCAAGTACAAAACGCTATCAGCACCTGTCACTACACACTCTTCTGTGTAGAGAAGCCAACGGAGCTAGCCACGCTCAATAAACAACTACATATCTATCAATCAACACCATTAAACGTCAATCGGACAATACAGTACACATATACATCCTTAACACACATGCACGGATGATTTCAGAATTTGCTGTTAACGTTTTCATGACAAAAATACTGTTTCAATGTGACAAAAAGCGATTGCGAAAAACCCGGAAGTTACCATGAAACAACTAGCTAGCTTAGCTGTTACCTGCCTAGCACGTCCCGGTGAAACCTTTGGGAGCTAACTACTTTATTCGCAGTCATTAAATACATTTCTAATTATAAGGGTTGTCTAATATTTGTTCAAATTTTTTTATTCAATAATTTTTTTCATCATTTTTTATTTTAGAATTATATTTGAATTTTGAAGTTGAAGCCCTGGTGTTAAGCAGCGCTGTAGAGGCTAGAGGACGCAGGCTGTTCGCTGCTCGTTCTGTGAGCGGAGGAGAAAGAGCGGCCCGCTCAGACTCTACTCAGCACTTTTCACTGCTTGTAATTCTTACACAGCTGAATCAATTACCTCAAGTTTTCAATTAAATGATGTATTATGATACAACTTGTATGTAGTAAAAAGCATTTTTATGAACTACTTAGAAAAAAAATCGGGTATAGCTTCTTTAAAAAGCAATCAAATCCTGTAGTTAAACACAAGAATTGAACCCAGACTCCTACTCAGGAACAACTAGACCTAGATATCTTCTGGGACTTGCCGGGCTGACAGATCGCTCACAGTCTCGTTATATATCTCCATGTACGACACTCTGAGATTGAATTCCTTTGAACTTAGCGATTTAAGGAGGCTCACAGTCTGGTCTGAAAGATGTGTGTGGAACAGAGACGGGAGGCGGAGGTCCAAAAAGTAAAAGGTTTATTAAAAGAGGTGCAAAAGAACCACTGTTTAATCACAAAACAAAATGCTCCAAAAGAGGTGAGGTGCAGACACCAGAATTTCTCTTACAGGGGACCAACAAGGTAACTATTTTTCTAACTTTCTATCCATCTATCTTAACAGTAGCAGGAGAAGAAGGAAGTTAAAAACAATTTCTCTGTAAGTCATGACTTCTTCTTTGTGTGTTTTTTTCCAGCAGATGTGAAGGACTCCCCCTGCAGGTCGTCTCTGAGCCCTGCAGCCGCCTCCACAGAACGCCGCCCCCCGGTGGAGGAGAGCCAGGAGCTGGGGGAGCTGCTGCAGAGCTCCGGTCTCAGCCGCAGCCGTGCCTCCATGTCCTCAGCGGAGTCTGCGGGCTCCGTGGGCTCGGTCCGCGGAGACGAGGGCGGGATGTACTCTGAGTTCTACGGAGAATATTCACCGCTGTTTGACGCTGGGAACGAGTCCGACAACACCAGCCTCAAAGGTACCGTCTCCTCCTGGAAATCAATCCTTGACACGATATTGATGATGGGTGAGTGTGTGTGTGTCGTAAAGATGGCGCCGTGGCAAGAGCTCTGTGTGTCCCAACTGGTGCACACTGGGGTCGTCTTGCACAGTTTTTCCAATGTGGTTTTACTGCAAATGGCAAATTAATTCTTGTTGTATCTTGTGTGTTGTCAACCCCATTTCACATCATCTGTCTCTTTTGTTGAGTTATGTGAATATTTGTTGTGCAGGTTTGAAATAAAATCAATTTGACATTAAAAAGCAAAATGTAAAAATTGGTCCAGGAGGGTCTGGAGGTTCTATATGAAAAACTCTTAAACTGAGCTCTTAATAATCAAAATAATCAAATGACTCTTCTGGCCCCTAGTAAAGCCATGTTCCAGCTTCTTCCTTCTGGTAGAAAATATCGTTTGTTGAGAAGCAGAACACCTCACTTTTATAACAGCTTAATTATAGCACTTTAATGATCCTGATCAAGAGTTTTTGTTGATCGATTTCACAGTGAAATTTGTTTCCTGCACTTTTTGTTAGTTTTTTCTTTTATCTGTAATTTTGTTTTTTTTTATGTACTCGTCTTGTGCACCCTGGGGACTTTTGCAATTTTATTCCAATGTGGTTTTACTGCAAATGGCAAATAAAATTAATCAGAATCTGAATCTGATTTGGTTTCCTGTGTGGCTTGCAGGGGACGCCGATGAGCCAGCGGAGCAGGAGGAGCGGGGCCTGCCGGAGGGCCAGGGCCAGTACAGGCTGGAGGGGTGGAGCCTGAAGGTGGCCCAGTTCCACGGTCTGATGGTGAAGCGGTTCCACTGTGCCAAACGCAACACCAAACTGCTGTTCTCTCAGATCCTGCTGCCGGCCTGCTTCGTCTGCGTCGCCATGACCGTCGCACTGTCCGTGCCCCGAATCGGTACGAAGACTGCATTTACTCTGAAGAACTACAGAACAGGGACCAGCACGGGACTGTTACAACACAGAGAACCAATGTATTTGATTACAGTACAGCTACATTGACACCAGGACCAGAGCGAATGCGTTTTTTCTTGCTTTATTAGTTAACAAAAAACATACAGATCGAAAAAACATGATACTTTGATTGAATATGAGAAGTATAGTTGTCCAGCAAAAACACATCCATTCAAATAGACCATGAACACTGTCCTGGAATAAAATTAAGCTACAGTCGGAAAACATTGTAACTTCTACTCAGCAGAAGATGGGGTTTCCCGCACAAACCAGTGTATAGTGTTGGAGAAGAAATGCACTCTGAGTAATGTATTAAAGAATGAGTTCAATTCAGCCTGGGTCAGCTCCAAGAATGAGGATGTGGCAAGAATGACCAGGAACACATTAAGCAGGGCTCTTGCGAATGGGTTAGGGCACCAGATTTCAGCATGAACACATATGCCATTCAATAATCTTCTAACTAGTCCTGGTTAAACTCCATGTCTCTGAGTCTGTCTTGCCCAACTTTCCCAGCAAAACAGATGACGATTGTAAAGCACAAAATAACAACTGTTTCAGAGCTACTTAGGTCTTGCTGCCATTTCCAGCGCAAAAGTAAAAGAAAAAGAATGCAGACCACAAACAAAATACAGAGTTAGGGTTATGGTTATGACATATGTAGATAACAAGTTTAAACTCTCATTAGTAGTTTTACAATATCAATTATCGGATTACATTTTCATGCACAAGACCCATTTTTCCCAGTATTTGTTGCACTTGTCTCAGGAAAGCCTCAATGAAAAGGTCAGTATTTCCATGTCGTAAATCTCCTTTATTATTTGTGTCCAGTCCGTGAGTATAAGGGCATCTTCACACAACCGTGTGCGTGTTATGGCCTTGTTTGCTCCTGCAGAATTGACAGGAGATATTGGTCAGATTTACGCATGGCCTGTGGAAGACTACCCAAATAGACTTCCTTTAAAAAAAAATGATTTTTTAAACACAAGTTTCTTTATTTTTATTTAACCTTTATTTCCATGTACTTGTATCTGTGCTGTGTTGTAGGAGACCTGCCGCCGCTGGTCCTGTCTCCGTCTCAGTACCACAACTACACTCAACCCAGAGGAAACTTCATCCCCTTTGCCAACGAGGACCGCCCTCAGTACAGGTACTACTTCAAAGGTCTCAACATGAAATACAGATTAAGATACTGACCTTTGAGGAACTAACATTTATCCTGTGTGTTTTATACATTTGTGGTTAATTTATACTAACCAGGCTCAGACCTGCTTAGCTTCTGAAATATGAGGAGGCTTTGACAGTGGCTGATCTCTACTACTACCTCATGTACTACTACTGCTACAATACTGCTCACATCTGATTTCCCAGAGTTTTTTGGCTCTATATCCACTTATATTGTACCGTCTGAGGTAGGATTGTAAAGGGATATCCTGTATCCTTAAATTCAATTCAATTTCTTTGTCTTGGAAGACTTTACAAAGTTGTTTGACTCAACAACAGACCAGAGAATCAAACAGTTTGAACACAGGAAATGCAGTGATAATAAACACGTAGGAGCCATTGGTCCACAGGCAGCAGGAAGACCAATGTCCATAAATGTCCATAAATGTCCCGGATCATTGCTAGTTTCTTGATGCTGGGAGTCCTGGTGTTAAACGTCTCAAAGTTATGAACACCAAAAACGTACATAAGCATCGTAATTAAGATTGAGATTAAGAAATCCCTTATTCGTCCCATAGTGGGGAAATGTCAGTGTTACAGAACAGTAGGAATGAGGAGCACACAGCACAAGATAAATGAATAATAACTCTATACTAAAATAAAATTATATGAAATCTCTAACTCTAGCATAAAAAGATGCAGTATACAATCTCTATCTTCTTGAAGTCTAGAATCTCCAACTTTAGCACGATGAAGAGGCACTGCTATTGCCACTCGTTCTTTTATTGCCACTTTTTTATTGTACATAATTATATCCTGCACAGACGATATTTTCAGCCTTAACATGTAACATATCTTATCTTAACCGTGTCTGTGGATTGTCTGTGGCTGCAGGAGCGGACAGTCCCCAGACGCTGGTCCTCAGGAGATCGTGCGCACTCTGCGGCTGCCGTCCGGAGTGGGTGCGTCCTGTGTGTTGCGGGCGCCTCACAACAGCTCTCTGGACGCAGCGGCGCTGGCGCTCGACCCGTCCACGCCCGGCTTCAAGGCGGCCGCGGCTCGCTGCTTCGACAGGTTGTGTCTGGACTCGCTCACTCAGGGCGCACCGCTCTCCAACTTCGTCCCGCCGCCACCGTCGCCTGCACCCTCCGACGACCCTGACCCGCGCTTTGATGACGCCCTCTGGAACTTCACTGTCCCGCCTCCCACCACCATCCACGGTCAGAGCTGCTTCTCACTCCACACGTCTCAGAGGGTCTCAACATATGACACCAAACTGCGACCCTGTTTTGTCTATGAACAACATCCAACCATATTGGCACAAAATGATTGTTTTACAAGAAAACAAAGCTGAAATTATGAATAAAATAACTTAGAAAGGACAAATTTTCATCTAATTTAATCTATTGAGTGGTTGAGTGTCACGTAAAAAATGCTCTATATCAGCCATTCCCAAACTCAGTAACACCGAGGCCCCCTTAAAAATCTGACGGGTCTGCGTGGCCCCCCAAAAAAATAACCAAGAAGACAACATTAAGAATAGGCTCTTCTGGTTATTTTATTTTGGGGAAATAGCCTCTGCTACAAACATCGTAATACAAAAATGATTACAGTGGATTATTCAAGTCAAATAATGAACACAAATATTTTAATATTACAAACAAAACATTATAAATTTAACATTAAATAATTATATTTTTTTTTTATGCCCTCCCGCGGCCCCCCTGCAGTACCCTCGCGGCCCACCAGGGGGCCGCGGACCCCACTTTGGGAGACACTGCTCTATATAAATAAAGATGACTTACTTACTTACATACTAAGACCAACAGATTACACTCAAAAGGAGAAGCATCAGTTCATAAGATTATCATTTCTGGGTGACAAGAGATTTGGACATAATATCTTCTGGAATCTTCTTGAAATGATCCTCAGATTTTATTACATTGGGCCATATATAATGCATTAATTATTTTAAGAAGTTTTCATCTAATTGTAGGGATGCATTATGGACTCATTTCTGAATATTCTTCTTAGTACTTTTGCAGTATAGAAGATACTGTGGCTCAGGAAAGTCTTCTGATCCACTGAAAATCATTCCTGGAACCAGTTGAGAATAGGGGTGGGAACCTAAGGGTACTTCACGATACGATACGATACACGATACAAAGCTCACGATAACGATTTTATCACGATATGACGATTATCGATATATTGGTCCGAAATATGCAATATGCCAATTTATGGAATAAATAAAAGAAAAAATACACTTTATTTCATGATCAATGGAATGGAGATGCGTAATGTAGCCATATATTAAGTATTGAAACCAATACAAAAAAATAAAAATGTTTAAAAAAAAAATAAAAAATAAAAATGCATATCGATAATCGAATCGCGGGAGAAAGTATCGCGATAAATCGAAAAATCGTCACACCCCTAATTGAGAACCTTTCACTAAATTGTCTTGTAGTATTTTTTGGGCAGAGAAATAATTAAAGCAACTTAGGTACATTTACAAAATAAAACGGATTAATAATACTAACACGACACTTATGGATGCTCAAAAAAGGAAGAAGTAAACGCTTATTTAATCCCACTCCTAATTGAATATGTGGTTTTTAATCGTGCCTTTGTCGTACCGTGTACAATACTGACAAAAATCCATCATTTTTGAATCACATTATATTGAAATTCAAGCTGCGATACTTTTCTCATAGAAAGTCCATTATGATGAGTTTTTAAAAGAAAGAAATCACACCACGACATGCTCTCTTCTTATTTGAAAATGTGTTATCTTTTGTGTATACTTGAGCCCTGTTAGTCACTATTTGACGCTTTGGGCTGAGAGGTGATTGGCTGAGTCACTTTTCTGTCTGAAAAAGCTAAAGATGTGACAGAGGCAAAACATACAACTAGTTTCAGACCTGTTTTTAGAGCGGATGGATGTATTTAGAAGAAGAAGAATAGATCTTTATTGTCTGTTCAAATTGAGCAGAGATTTGTCTTTCAACACGGCACGATTCATGATCATTCATAAAACACACATAAAATACATTTAAAACACATAAGAAAAATACATTTCATTTATTTATACAAATGCATTTATTATTTATTTATTACATACAGTAAAGAAAGATGTTGCGGTTTGGAAGTTAGATACCCCAGCTTTAATCGTGTCTCATACCCCTCTCTGACAGCCACTTCTCGTCCGGCTCTTCCTCTCTCCGTCCACGAGCCTGTGCGCTGCGTGTGCTCCATGCAGGGCACCGGCTTCTCCTGCCCCAGCGGCGTGGGAGGGCGCCCCCCGCTGGCCAAAGTGGTGACCGGAGACATCCTGGTCGACATCACAGGGAGGAACGTGTCGGAATACCTGCTCTACACCTCCGACCGACTGCGGCTGCACAGGTGAGAGACGGACACTGCACAGACTCCAATCAGAGAAATTCAATGTGTTGGAAAAGTATTAATCGCATTTTTTCAAACAAACTTGTGAGATTGCAGCAACTTGCTTTATGTTATATACATGTTATAATAAAGATTCTATTTGAAAAAAACACCATATATTTATATCATTATATGTTGTCCATAAATGTTATAGACATTTATTTACATTTATGGACATTGATAATCCCGGAACAATGGCTGTTGTGATTTAGGGCTGGATAAAAATAAATTGAAGGTATAATCTGTTGTCCAAGACCTGCTGCACTTAATATGACTGGATACTACCCTCCAGTCCTACTAAGAAAAATTAACCCCATCAAGATAATTCCTCCACACTTCAGGCATGTGTTTTTCTCTGTAAAGAACTTCATTGATTTCATTGTGACCTCTGACCTCTGACCTTGTGCTTTTATTTCATTCATGCGGCCCCAGTTTCAATCTAGCATTGTTTTTTTTCTTGAACAAGGCATCTTTATTTGCACAGCACCATTGATACACAAGGAAACGCTAAATATATACAAAATAAAGTAAAAATTAACACCTTAAACATTGGTCGAACAGTAAACTCCTACAGCTACAACTCCACTCGCCCCTCGTCGCTGGAAAACCATTGAAATCATTTTAACTATTCCCCAAAAGTGTAAACGTGTGCGGAATGCAAAGATACATGTATGTAAAACGCAGGAAAGACACAAGAATAATTATCTCAATAATACATTGTTAATGCTGTGATTTAACTACAGTCGAACCTGGACAAAATCGCACACACAAAAGGACATAGTTCAGGCATTCTTTAATTACTTAGTTGCCTTTCCAAGGAGAAGTGAGAGACACAACAGAGATGGCTTTGTCTCTCTTTTGTTATAGATATTTAACATAGCAAGGCGGTATATTAATAAAGATGACTTACTTACTCTCTGTTTCCAACACCAGATCTAACTCAGGCAAGACTGCTAACTCCTTTTGAGAGTACATAACACACCTCCATTTGCAGATAGGAAAGGAAGAACTAACATTTACGAGCCCCCAGACTTCCTGAAGCCAAAATTAATTACAATACAACCTTTCAGTATACAATACATATTTTAGCCAAATGTAAATTATTAAAATGATAACTAAAACAACATTCCAATGTCATACACACAAAGCACATTTATGTTTAACCAGATGTGTTGCTTCTTGTGTTTCAGATACGGAGGTCTGACTGTGGGGAACATTCAGAAGTCTGTCCCTGCTGCGTTTGGGAACAAGGTCCCTCCACTGGTACGAAAGATCGCGGTCCGACGAGCGGCTCAGGTATTAGCAGTCCACCTACTCACTTATATACGTACACAAAAATACTACCATAAATTACAGTATCATTAATTTCTGTCGGTGTAGGACAAATGTGCAATTGTAGCCTCAGCCTTTGTGACATCAGCTGTAGGGGATAAAGTCATACACTGCAAAAAGTGATGACAAATAAGTTAAAAATTGCTCAAATGTAGCATATTTTGGGCACATTTTTACTGCCTTAACACAAGCTTTGCCAATGGGACAAAGTAAAATGATTTTGTTTTAACAAGATACAAGAAAAGTCTCTGTTGGAATGAGAAAAAATGCAACAGTTCTTGAATTAAGACTAAATGGCTTTGTCCCATTGGAAAATCTGGTTTTAAGACAGATTCACAGATCACAAATCACTCAGATTGTGCAAAAGACAGAAGTGTGAAACATGTTAAAAAATAAAAATATAGTCTGTGCAGGATATGATTATGTACAATAAAAAAGTGGCAATAAAAGAAAGAGTGGCAATAGTGGTGCAGGTTTTTTTTTTTCAGTCCTCGTTAGTGACTTAAAGTAGCTTATTGTACAGTCTGACAGCAAATTAAGATTATTATTATTACTTCACATCACTTATTGCAGAGTCTGTAAAACCTTGTTTGTGTGGCAGGTGCTGTACAATAACAAAGGCTACCACAGCATGCCCACTTACCTGAACGTGCTCAACAACGCCATCCTCAGAGCCAACCTGCCGCCGTCCAGAGGAAACCCGGCGGCCTACGGTGCGCTCCGTCTGTCAGAATCAAAACAATCTCTAAACAATAACATTCAAACTGGAGAGAGATCTATGCATTTTTGCTAAGATAAGGTCCTTCAGATGAAAAATGCGTTTATACGCTTATGGCCATTTTAATGCTCAAAAAAAAAAAAACTGTGTCATAGACAGTGGTGGGAAAAACCGATTCTGTTCAGTATCGCGATATTTTGCGTACTCAATGAAATCAATACAGTAGAGAAAGTACAGTATTGTGTTTTCTCTCAGTTATCGCTGAGGTGATCATATACAGCTGAGATTTATGTTATTCTATTTTGTCTGCTTTTTGTGAGTCTTGTCTATTTGAATAATGTAAGTGATGTGCAGGGAGCTCACCGTTCATGTGAGCGGCCGCCTTCAGAGAATATTTCTGTCTTGTCTGTAATAAGGTCCTGTGTCCTGAATGTTCAAGGATAAGGTTTTTCACTTCTCTCATAAGTGTTTGCTTCAGTTAATGTGCAGACCTTGATAAATATGACGTCTGAGTTGAGTCTTATTGTCCTACATTTGCGTAATGCCTTTGAATAATATGAGGAACATGAATCGCAATATTTCACAGAAAATCGCAATACTTGCTTTATCGCAGTATGTTAATCGCAATCATTTTGAATTGTGGTCAAAGTACTATCGCAATCGTCACATTATTGTCATTTCCCACCCCGAGGTGACTTACTAGAACAAAGGACATTACTGTACGTTTTCTATTGTATGTAATGTTGGTGAATTACTCCAAATGATTGATTTGTGGATTCTTTTCTTGAAGGCATCACGCTGACTAATCACCCAATGAACCGGACCAGCGCCAGTCTGTCCTTGGACTATCTGTAGGTTTCACTTCAACACAACGTCATTGTGTTTACAAACATAGATACATTTAAAGGAGCAGTATGTATGTAAAAATGTGGCTAAGGCTGAGTTTACACGGAGACAATGTGGCAGTAAAACGGTATAGTTGGATATCGGTTGCTACCAACTGCAACTGTTATCATTATATTATATATTATTAATATACATGCATGAGAAAACTAGTGCTATTTTATTATAAGAAACTGGAAGGAACTAGTTTTAGGATTTAATTACTAGTATATAGCACCATTTTTTGTGCTTTGAAAAGTGAGGACATCCATCCATCCATCCATCTTCTACCCTTTAATCCATTTCTGGGTCAGGGGGGTGGCAATCAGAGATGCCACCCAAGTCTCATAGCACCAGCCCCTCACTGACCCTCTGCGGGTGGTGAGTCCACAGGAGCTGAGATCTTCCAGCAGGGGCTTTGGGCAAAGTGGGGTTAAGCGTCTTGCCCAAGGACACAACAACAGCAGTCATCAGTGGGAGTCGGTGGAGAAGGTGTAGAGGTGGGAATTGAACCCACGACCTTCTGGCCTTAAGGCCAATGCTCTACCAACTGAGCTACTGTTCAGTTGGTAAAAAAGTGAGGACAGATGTTACTAAAATCAATAGGCTCAAAGTGTCGCTGCTGTGGTGTTTAAGGCTGCAGGGCACAGACGTGGTCATCGCCATCTTCATCATCGTGGCCATGTCCTTCGTCCCTGCTTCCTTCGTCGTCTTCCTCGTCTCAGAGAAATCGTCCAAAGCCAAACACCTGCAGTTTGTGAGCGGCTGCGACCCGGTCATCTACTGGCTCTCCAACTACGTCTGGGACATGGTACAGACACGCACACGCACACACACACAGACTGACTCTCCAACTACGTCTGGGACATGGTACAGACACACACACGCACACACAGACACACACACTGACTCTCCAACTACGTCTGGGACATGGTACAGACACACAGACACAGACACACACACACACACACTGGTTCTCCAACTACATCTATGGTGCAGAGACATACACATAGACACATGTATACACACACATACTTAAACACACACACACACGCACAGGCTTTCTGCTAACCACTATTTGAGGATCATGATTTAAGAGATCCTTTATTCGTCCCACCATGGGGAAATGGTGGGACGTCACAAGTGCACTACAGAGCCGTAAGATTGAGGAACACACAACGCAACACACAACACAAAATAATATGTATTTTTATCACAGAGCTGTAATCATATCTGCTTCCAAAGGCGTCACTCTGTCTCTGTCTGCAGTTGAACTACCTGGTCCCAGCCACCTGCTGTGTGTTCATCCTGTTTGTGTTCGACCTGCCGGCGTACACGTCCCGGACCAACTTCCCCGCCGTGCTCGCCCTCTTCCTGCTCTACGGGTCAGACTCCTCTTCATCACCTCTTCATTTCAGACCCAACAGTTTTGTAAAGTCTAGATAGCTACTGTTGTGATTTAGGGCTATACAAGAATAAAAATGAATTGAATTGAGCTGTACTATGCCTGTTCTGTGGCTGGTCTCCGCAGCTGGTCCATCACTCCCATCATGTACCCGGCTTCTTTCTGGTTTGAAGTCCCCAGCACGGCCTACGTCTTCCTCATTGTCATCAACCTCTTCATCGGAATCACAGCCACGGTCGCCACCTTCCTCCTGCAGCTGTTTGAACACGACAAGGTCAGAGTCCCGAATACACAGCTCCCTTTCACACAAGCGTTCACAAAGAGCTCTCCTCTCTTCTAGTTGAATTTTAGATTAAGATTAAGTTATCTTTAATCCTGATCTTAAATTGGACTAGGAGAGTGATCCAGTTTCCCACTGATCGATCACGAGGCAACTCGAAAGCATGAAGGAGGACACATAACAACTGCCCTGGGACTACAAATGGAAAATAGCCCTTAGGCTAATTCTGGCATATTTACATGTACAATGTATATTATTATGCACTGTCCCTTTAATAAATCAATAAATGTAAACCCTGGTGCGCGCAGATTGAGGTGCGATTAATTTCTAGCAACAGGATCTAACCATTTCCACTCCGTTTACACTGGCATGTGACCGGACACTACTGAGACAAGGGCCAGCAGATGCATTTAAGATTAGGAGATCTTTATTTGTTCCATTGGAGAAATTTCAGGGTTGCATCACCATATAACTCTTTAACAGAAATTCAAATCTCTATTTTTATCATTTAAAAAAAGTATATGTCTTAAAGAAATTACACATACAGTATATTGCGTATAAGAACACAGGGAAAGATAGATACTTTATTGATCCCCCGTTGGAGAAATTCAGGTGTCCAGTAGCAGAAAAAATAAAAAATACAATTGATAATTCTAAAGTTAACAATAGTAATAATAAGCAACAGCCCTTCAGGTCACAGCAGCAGAGGTGGAGTAGCCTCTGGGTGGAGCAGGACAGGTCACAGCAGGAGAGAGAGGTGGAGTAGCCTCTGGGTGGAGCAGGACAGGTCACAGCAGGAGAGATGGTGTAGCCTCTGGGTGGAGCAGGACAGGTCACAAGGTGGAGTAGCCGCTTGGTTCGGAGCCTAAAGCCTCTTTGGGTGTCTTGAAAAGTGCTATATAATATACAGTGGGGCAAGTATGTAGTCTATCACCAAATGCGCAAGTTCTTCCTCTTGAGACATGCTTGTACTTTGTTCGCTAGGGAATTATGAGAGACAAAATGAGGAAAAAAAAAATCCAGAAAATCACATTAAAAAAGTATGATTTATTTGCAGATTAGGTACTATACACTTCAATACGTTTCAGATTAAGATCATTTCTTGAGTTTTATTCTCTGATCTGTGTTGGAAAACTCCACGGTTTGTTAAAGTCCTCTGAGATAACTACTGTTGTGATTTAGGGCTATACAAGAAGGAATTGAATTGAATTAAGATGAAGAGATCCTTTACTCGTCCCACAGAGGGGAATTTTCAGTGTTGCATCACCGGTTACGGAACTGTAGGAATGAGGAGCACACAACACAAGATAAATAAACAATAACTCTTCACTTATATACATTGTTTTCTGTAAGTCTTCACATGGTTTTCCCACACTGTTGCTGGGATTTTGGCCCATTCCTCCATGCAGATCTCTTCTAGAACAGTGATGTGTAACCAATTCAACATTATCAATTAAGAATGAGTGAATGAGCCGGTGAGTGGTGACGTGTGTGATTAGGGCTCATTTGTCTTTGTCGCCAGCTTTTGTCTGGACCTTGGTGTGAGTCTTCCTCAGGTCCTAAGTCGTGTTCTCTGTGCGCAGGACCTGAAGCGTGTCAACAGTTACCTCAAGTCCTGCTTCCTGATCTTCCCCAACTACAACCTGGGCCACGGCCTTATGGAGATGGCCTACAACGAGTACCTCAACGAGTACTACGCCAAGATCGGTACAGAACCAGGGTCTTATAATGCGTAGAACAGTGTTTTCCAACCGGGGGTGTATAACTCGGGGGTACTTTAGATGAAAACTTACAAACATTAATAGTAAGAGGTTAAAATGGGCTTAAATGGCATCTTATACATTATTTTGAAGCTAATTACCTGAAGAAAACAACATAATTCAACAACAACATAATTCATTCTATTCTAAAAATTATTTAAAACAAACAAAATACAAATAGAGGTGGTGGAAATGCAAACACCTCTACACCTTCTCCACCGACTCCCACTGATGACTGCTGTCGTTGTGTCCTTGGGCAAGACACTTAACCCCACTTTGCCCAAAGCCCCCACTGAAAGATCAAGGCTATGCTCACACTCAGAGAGCAGCCGTCCTCCTGTGGACTCACCACCTGCAGAGGGTCAGTGAGGGGTTGGTGCTATGAGACTTGGGTGGCATCTCTGACTGCCACCCCCCTGACCCAGAAATGGATTAAAGGGTAGAAAATGGATGGATGGATGGATGGAAAATACAAATATTTTAACTAGTATTTCATGTGAAAGAAACACACGATGAAAGACAGATTTATGAAGTTAAATGAATACTTACGATTTTGAAGTTTTTAATGAGTAAAATGCTGAACAATGGGGAGTATCTAAGTATCTATCCCTTTCTCATTTCTTTGTTGACCTTTATTGAACAAGGAAAGACCAACATGTTCTCCTCTGAGACACAGGGAGAACATGTAACTCCTTTCAGAAAAGGCCCTGTCTGGAGGAGGAATCGATCCAGGACCTGCCATCATGCTAATTTTGGAATGATCATATGTTGACCCGAGTCATCAGGTCAGGTTTAGTCTTAGCAAAATGTCAAAAGTTAAACAGGGGGTTAAACATGTGGGAAGATATAATTAACTAGATTTGCCCCGTTGTGAGACTAATAAAGATATCATTCATTCATTTGAAGACTTTCTTGCACTTATGCGGCCCTCTTCTCTTCGCCTACAGGTCAGTTCGATAAAGTCAAGTCTCCGTTCCAGTGGGACATCGTGACCCGGGGTCTCGTTGCCATGACGATAGAAGGTTTTGTGGGGTTCCTCATCACGCTCCTCTGTCAGTACAACTTCCTCCGCAAACCTCCGTAAGAGCAGAGCTTCCTTCTGCATCTCTGTGCTCCATACAGCCACAACTCTGTGTCACTCCTTCACATGGATACGTTTCAGAAAAAGTTTGTGAGGATACATTTCGTACATCAGTTTCTAGATCCCCTGATTAGGATTTGAGCAGTTTTCAAGTGGAACATGAGGCAGGAGCACAAAAACTAAATACCCCAGGTCACAGGTGTGGCACATCAAGGGTGGGGCAGGAACCAAGGACAGGAAGTAAACTAGAAGCAAGGGCAAGTAAAGGTGATTTCAAAATAAAACACAGAACAGGACAATCTGCAGTTTAAGTCATTTTGATTCTTGGCACAGTGGATTAGATTGATGTCGATCCGAATGGCAAATATCACAACTTCATGTCAAGTTCAGAAAAAGGGAAAATGAAAGAAACACCCTCTCTCAGCAAATCAGCTCTCCCTTGTTACATCTGCACTCCTGATGAATTTCTAATCGGATGAAGATTTGTTCACAAAATGTTACTTTTATGAGACTCTTTCTTTGGGGACAAACAAAGTAAAATGTATGAAACGAAACACAGTTAGAACCACTCCTGATAATTATTTTGTTCCACTACATTACAATACCTGGTTTGGTGGCCTTTAGCTGCTGCTGTTAATATAAACTCATAGAAAGTCCAGTCTCAGTCAAGTACAATAAACAAGTTTTTTGTAAAAAGGGAAAAAGAGAGACGCGCCATCGCTCAGCCAATCAGATCTCAACCCCAAACACTTTCACACAAGTACGCAAAAGATGGTGGTTGGATTTGTTCACAAAATGTTACTTTTACAAGACGACGAAACGCGGCATAAACACGGGGTTTGGTGGATTTTAGCTTCAGGTAGAAAGTGCAGTCGTGAGAGGTTTGGTTTCCTTGGCTTTGAACTCTGCTGTATTTGTCTTCAGCCGTGTTCCGGTGAGCGTTCAGCCCATTGACGACGATGACGAAGATGTGGCATGTGAGCGGAGGAGAGTCCTGCGTGGAGACGCGGACCAGGACGTGCTGAAGATACAGAACCTCACCAAGGTCCGAACTCAGACCTCTCTGTACAATGCAGCGTGCTCTATTTCGGCTAAATAATCCAGACTGGAATTACTGCGATAAGAATTGTAATTTATGTTTAAAGATTGGGATTTTGTTTAATGCCCACATTGCGACTGAGGAGCATTGTTGAATATTATCCACAAAAATATGTATTTCAGAACTTCTAACATAGAAATTACAGTACAAAGGAATAGCATATTCTACATACAGTAATACAATGGTTTAAGACAGACAAAACAAAACACATAACACACAGGCCCCAACACTGTCTGACCCTATACCTCTCTTCCACTACTTACTCTCTGCTTGAGGATTCACTCTTTGATTTTATTTTCAAAGGATAATGTTTTTAATTAATCTGATAGATCATTCCAAATAGTATCTCCACGCACTGAGAGACACCTTGATTTTAAAGTAGTCATATGTTTAGACCTTTTTTCTTTCTTTAATTATGGATCGCATCTCTGTCATGGAATAGCTGCAGAGTTTAGATGTCCTGGACACTATTTTATAAGTTTTAAAGTTAATCACATCCGTCAGTTTAAGTTATTTTCATTCTACGAGGAAGTGTGTATATGTCAAGGTCAAGTTTATTTCTATAGCTTTCTTTATTTCTTAAAGTGCTGCACAGTATAATACATCAAATACAAAAAAAAGCTATAGTAAAAACAGATCAACAGATATTACAACAGTGCAACGGCGCTTATTTGCCAAAGGCCAGAGTAAAAAGATGAGTATTTAATGAAGATTTAAAATGGGGATGAGGAAGTCTGGGTGTCTCTGCTTAGACTACTGCGGTGGATTCGAATGATATCTATAGTGGATATTAGTTACAATACTAATGGCCATATTTTAACACAATAATTCAGGTATGACATTATGAACGAACGATACACGAAAAGTACAGAATTGGTGTTCAGTGAGTAGAGCTAGCACAAGTTACACATTCAAACACCAGGAAAATGACGGCTTCTATTTAGAGCCGAGCGGTTCACACAGTATCAAGAGCAGTTGTCAATCCCCAGTGGCCAACACAAACAACAGCCACCTCAGTTTAAGGGAAGAAAAAGGCAGTAAGTCAAAGACACTTTGGTAAGAGTGAAGTTATCAGTCGCAATCTCTCTTTAAAAATGCAGAATATGTTGACGTCTGCAGGTGTACAAGTCTCGTAAAATGGGTCGTATCGTGGCCGTGGACCGCCTCTGTCTCGGCGTCCGTCCCGGCGAATGTTTTGGTCTGCTGGGAGTGAACGGAGCCGGAAAAACCTCCACCTTCAAAATGCTCACAGGAGACGAGAGCACGACCGGAGGAGAGGCCTTCATCAGCGGAAACAGGTCTGGACCACGGTGGACTTGGACAGGACAAGGACTGGGCCGAGACTAATCTGGGTTTTCAACAAAGAACAAAGATAACATCTAAAAACCAGGATTATAGAGAGCACTAACCCAAAATTGGTGACACTAATGAATACTGAGCTAGAGGAGTTTACTCATCAATGTAAGTCAATAAGAGCCAGAGCAAGTTGGAGCAAAACTTACTCCATGAGCACTTTTCTATTAGGCTTCATTGAACTTGCTGTTTAACTAGCTGTGACCAGGATTTAGGGTCTAATCCAGTGTCTCCTACAGTGTGCTGAAGGAGCTGTTGCGTGTTCAGCAGAGTATCGGATACTGTCCTCAGTTCGACGCCCTGTTCGACGACTTGACGGCCAGAGAGCACCTGCAGCTCTACACTCGCCTGCGGGGGGCGCCCTGGAGCGACCAGTCCAGGGTCAGTGATTGTTTTTGACGATGTATCAGGGTTCAGTCATTTACAGTATTATACCTATAGCTCAGTTTCCAATGACATTAGAGGTAACATACATGACTGTTATCCTAACTTCCCCCTTTCTCTTCGACTGGATTGACAAGACATTTTGTACCTACATTTGTGATAGTGCTTTGAACCAGAAAAGCACTTGCAGAGCACAGACCTCTGCCAAAGGGTCATCTAAAAAATCGTGATGATCCAAATTTTCCCATACATTTTTATATACTATATGTTGCTAACTAACTGACTAATCTACAGAGCGAGGCCTCGGTTCTTGCTCTGCAGCCCGTGTACTGGATCTATAGCCCGTCTGTCTGTGGGAGTGGATCCCTGACGTTTCTCACTTTTTCCCTTTAGGTTTAATTTATTTTATTTTTTTTGAGTTTTTCCATGCTGATGCAGGAAGGTGGTGATGATGGTTTTTATCATTGCATTTCTTGTGTTTGAACTAGTGCTGTCCAAAATATCGCGGTATTAACGCGTTAACGCAAATCAATATTAACGGCGTAATTTTTTTTTTTTCTTTTTTTTTTTTTACTTTTTATTGCAGACAAACACATATACAGAAAAAAAAAATAGAAACAAAGAAAAGGACTAGTTCAGATACATTGTAGACAGAGATTACAAACAATATGTAGTTGGAGATACATGGGGGCCAAAGAAGAAACCCAGAAGGGCACATAGGAGGGGGGGGGGGTTAAAAAAGGCAATACAAGCAAACAGTATACAGTCATAGATATACCGAAAGTAAACAGAGAAACAGCATAGAGTATTGACATGAACAAATTTACAAAATATTTAGAGATTGTTTATCATCATCATAATGACACCATGATGTTTCTATACAGTCTATGGTATAGACCATAGACTGTATAGAAACATCATAGTGTATGGGTATAGACCCACACATACACACACACACCCACACCCATAAACACACACACTCCACACACATACACCCCACAGATAAGATAAGATATAAAGTCTGCCCGCCTGAGTTTCACCAAGCTAAGCGGAACCCAGCCAACATCAAACCAAATCCGACACACACACAGACCCCCAAGCAGGCCCCCACCCCAAAAAGGGGGGGAGGGAGCCCACGCCCGGCCCATTCCCTCTTATTTTGTTCCTTTTTCTCAAGTGTTTTTCTTAACTAAACGTGTCATGCATTAAAATAAGCTTTCGCTTACCCTGACTTGTGTATTATCATTATATGCACATATGCACATATTATTCATGTTATTATTATATTTATCTACTTATTCATTCATTTTTTATTTTATTTTATTATTATTATTAATTTTATTTTATTATTTTTATTTTATTTTAATTATTGTTTGTTTGTTAATTTATTCATTTCAGGCATTTCACATGAGGCAGCAGTCACCTCTTGTTCATCATAGTTTCCAACAAAAAATAAAAATAATTAAAGCATTGCTAACATGCATGAAAAAATAAATTTAAATAAATAACAATAAATCAAAATATTTGCCTGAAAGGGGAGTAGAAGAAGAAAACTTATTTAATCCTACCCCCATAATATGTATACAACAAAATATGTGCTTCTTTGCGAGACAGGGCTATCAACAACTTTCGACTTCTGCACTATATTAACACAGAAAAGTTTGAGTATTCACATGGTGGAGTTACCATAGTAACATCAGAGTTACATATGACAACAGTAATACAGGACTAGCAATGGTTAGAGACAATACCAGCAATGGTTAGAGACAATACCAGCAATGGTAAGAGACAATACAAGCAATCGTAAGGGACAATACCAGCAATGGTAAGCGACAATACCAGCAATGGTAACAGACAAATACCAGCAATGGTAAGAGACAAAACCAGCAATGGTAATTGAATAGATAACATACTCACTCTGATTAGGTCAATAGTTCTGTAGATTTGGATACTGCTACGTCCCTAATGCAGTTGCTCAAAGCCGTTGTAAGTGCGGACATCATGTTGCGTGTGTGTGTAGGTGGTGGAGTGGGCGCTGCAGAAGCTGGATCTGTGTGAATACGCAGACGAGCCGGCCGGGACGTACAGCGGCGGAAACAAACGCAAACTGTCGACCGCCATCGCCCTGATCGGCTTCCCCCCACTCATCTTCCTCGTGAGTTCAACTCCGAAAACGCCGCTGTTTGAACATCGAAGCAAACATCTCCTGTTCTCTCTCTCTCTCTCTCTCTCAGGACGAGCCCACCACAGGAATGGACCCTAAAGCTCGTCGGTTTCTATGGAACCTCATCCTCGACATCATCAAAACAGGACGCTCCGTGGTGCTGACGTCACACAGGTGAGTCCTGAACAAAAAGTCCACAGGTACACAGAGGACAGTGGTACTCAGGGCTATACAGGACTATATAGGAAACTGTGTGAAAATAGTGTCAAATCTGTGATAACGATATACGCTGCAATGTTTTCCTTCCCCTAAGAAATAACATTTTCATAGGTCATTAGAACTAGTGCTTTTTTTTTTTTTTACTTGGTTAACTTGGGGCAACAATACTTTATGCTAAACCACCAAACAATTGAACAGTCGACCAGTCATTAAAGTCAGTTTGAGTCTTTTGAAACAGATCTTTTCAGATTATTTCCCAATGTGAACCAGATTTGGTCCAGTTAAACCAATTAAGTGGCCAATAATTGTGAATGCACCCTTAAAGTCTTCCATTCTGAATTGGGTAACATGACCTCTCCATAGCCTCATTGGGTTTATGAGTTAAAGAGGACCAACCAGTCCATAAACAAGCATAGTTTTCGCAAAGCATGAAAACAGTAGATATTAAGAAGATTTAGAGGTGTTGTAACATAGTAAACACATGTATGTATATTTATGTGTCATTGTGTCTCATCAACAAACCCTTGGCCGTACATCTATGTTGTGAATAATAAGCGTGTCTCTATGTCCAGTATGGAAGAGTGTGAGGCCCTCTGCACGCGGCTCGGCATCATGGTCAACGGACGCTTCAAGTGTTTGGGAAGCATCCAGCACCTCAAGAACAGGTCAAGTCCTTGTGTAGTTCTTGGTCTAGACTTGGGCTCTGTCTTCCTTTTAGACTTGTTGTCGGTTCTGTATCCTAACAGAATGGTTTGCTATTCTGAAGTCCTGCCACTTCTGTAATTCAACTTACAATGTGAAACTAATATATAGCCGACTTTTGAGATATAACAAGCCTTCATTTAAAAATTCATTGTAAAAAAACACAGAATTAGCAAACGTCTCACTATTGTTTAAGGGCCAAAAATAACGGATCATATTTCTTTAACTTATTTGAGGATAGGCTGGATATGATGAGGAAACAAATCAATACAAGACTCCATCCTTGGCCCTCAAACTCGGCCATAGCCTCAGAAAGCTAGCAGATATTCTTGAATGTGACTCAAAAATGGAGCATTGTGTTGATGAACTATTTATTAAAAACCTCCAACGAAGCCGGCTGCTTTTTGAGAAGAGGTGGGACGTCTGTGTTTCTTCTGCTGCCCTACAGACCCTCCGGCAAGCCAAGTGGAACACTCCGGACCTGCTCCCTCTGACTGAGGACGTTAGAGCCATGCATGCACATATTGAGGTATGTCGACCTGAATATGTGCAAACCCTAATAAGTGAGCCAACGTCTAAGCATTGGTCTAAACTGGCAGTTTTGACTCTTTGTGAGGTCATCATTTTCAATCGAAGAAGGGAAGGTGAGGTTTCAAAGATGCCACTGACAGCCTTTACCTTAAGAAGTAAGACTGGGATCCATTCTGACATTGCTCTGGGACTGTCCCAACTTGAGAAAAATCTGTGTCAGCATTTTCAACGCATTGAAATTAAAGGGAAAAGAAGTCGGAAAGTGCCGGTTCTTTTGACTCCTGAAATGATTGCTTCGATGGAGGTGCTGGTGGAGAACAGAAGGGCCTGTTCCATCTCTGACCATAACCCATACTTCTTTTCCCGCCCGGGCGCAGACACCCACATCAGGGGATCAGACTCCCTACGCCAGGTAGCCAAAGAATGTGGTGCGGTGCATCCAGAGATGCTATCCTCAACCAAACTTAGAAAGCACATAGCTACTATGTCTACAGTTCTCAATATGAAAGAGAATGAGATGGACATACTTGCCAACTTCCTCGGCCATGACATTCGCATCCACAGGCAATATTACAGACTATCAGAGGGGACACTGGAGCTGGCCAAAATCAGCAAAGTGTTGATGGCCATGGAGCAGGGAAGAGTGACGGAATTCGAAGGAAAGAGCCTCGACCAGATACAAATTGAGCCTGAAGGTAATTCTTGATATTATTAAAATATGTATGATTTTTTTCCCCTAAAGGCCACTTGTATTTTTATTTTCTGTGCGACAGGGAGAGCAGTAGAGATCCTCTCACAAACGGACGGGCTAAAAGAAACTTCAAGCGGAGAACCTTCAACCATTCATCCAGATGCACCCCATGGTAGTGGCAGTGCCCCTTCTGGTAAGTGTACCAGGTGGGGGATTACAGCCAGGCTGCTTGGTCCTCACCCTGGGAGTGTATATTGCTAATATATTTTTATTTCTCTCCCTAGAACGTGTAAGAAAGCCATGGTCTGCATCTGAGGTGAAGGCTGTGGAGAAGACCATGACACCTTTCATACAGACTGGAAAGGTCCCTGGGAAGTCTCACTGCCTGGCCTGCATTAATGCCTCACCAGATGACCTTAGACATCGGACATGGAGTGGCATTAAATTCTATGTCAAAAATAGAATCACTGCAATTCGAAAACAAAATCTAAAATAAAATTCCTTTAAAATAGTTGTTTGGTTTCTATTGACTGTTTTGTATTACTTAAAGTCTTGGTAAAAAAAGATTATGTCTATGGGTCCCATTCTGAACGGCCCTGTCAAAGGGACCCACCAGGTAACAAAAACGTGTATGTGTGTGTGTGTGTGTGTGTGTGTGTGTGTGTGTGTGTGTGTGTGTGTGTGTGTGTGTGTGTGTGTGTGTGTGTGTGTGTGTGTGTGTGTGTGTGTGTGTGTGTGTGTGTGTGTGTGTGTAGACAGTGTTGTTCCTTCAGCTTGGTAAGACTCGGAAAGAAGAATTTTGCATCCACAGCCGCGCACTGAGCTCTGGGACGGGGGCCAGACACAAACCAGGGACCAGCACGAGGCTCAGGAGCCGCTGTGGCGTTGATTCAACACCTCACAGAGATAAGTGCTGAGGAACATGAATAATTGCCCTGCGTGTCTGGAGAGTGTTTTGTGTTTCTGTCATTTACAGCCGTCTGTCGCATACAACTGCAGGATCCAAAGGGCCAGACGGAGCAGCGGACTCAAGACCCCAGTCCACATTGGATCTATTCAACCCAATTCAATTTGTGTTTCTATAGCCATAAATCTCAACTGTAGTAATCTTAGTAGTTGAACTTCTGCGTGTGCTTGTGTTTGCAGCCGATCATGTTTTTGTTTTTGGAAAAAAGGTGGAAGGGACAGGTGTTCATGTGTTTCACCAACAGACTGTAAATATTAACAGACTGAGTCAGGCCTATCTCCGCCGGTGGAGAATGTTGTGCCACCACTTTTGCATTCTGTGGGAATTTCCAAAATGGCCGCTGGGGCAGGAAAATGTGGGGGGAAAACGCATTTGCGCATGCGTTAACCGGCACTAGCCCCATTCATTTAAAGAGTGCATTTTGAAGTCGACAGAGGTTAAACTAGACTGGTCCGAAAAAATATATACACTCCTGAACATTGACATTGGAAAAAAACAAAAGCATTGGGTATTTCTAATTCTGGGTCCACCCCACTGGCCCGGAGTGAGATTGCAGCACTTGTTCATGGACCTGCCCCCACTGGTTTGATCATGTATATTCTCCTTTAAGATGTTATTTCACATTCTTAAAGTAAATTGTCTCATTATTGTCTGAATGTTGTGTTAATCTTCTGTAAAACTAGACATACAAACCCCAGGCCTCAGAGGGTTCATGTTCGTTCGTCTTTCTGTCTGCTCTTTCCACTTTTATGTTCATTGCTTTTTCTTTTTATCACTGTCAATCTTTGTTTTTACAGAACAATCAATTCAATTATTTGTTGTTAAAAAACTGTCCTTACCTCCTTTCCACACAGTTGTCTGTATGATCAAAATAATACTCTTTCAGGAAAAGCAGAGAGAGCCTTCTTCCTCCCCGCTCCCCTCAGGTTTAGCACCAGACGCTTGTGTGAGGCGTGTGTTGGTACATGCTGTCACTAGCTCCCTCTAGTGGCGATTTTTAGTATTACAACTTTTTTCTCAGAGCCTTCAAATCTTGATCTTGTCGTATTTCTGAGGCTAAGGAAGAGAGGGCCTCATAAGTAGTGTGATGGGAGACCACTACAGTGAGACTACTTTAAATGTGCATAACTGTTACTGTGTCCTTTGGCAATACAACTCACCTATTGTCTGTCTGAATCTGCAGTGATACATGGTCAGAGGGACAAATGGCTTAAAAGTAGGCTACATAAGATAAATGTGAACTAATCGACAATATCTATAATAAGGAGCAGGGGTAGATCTAAAACCTGAGTATATTAATTTGCCTCGACTCTTAATGCTTCCCTCAACCACATGAAATCGAATGAAATTAAAATATTTCTGTCATGGCTCACAGTAAAGAAACAATTTAGAGATAGCAATGTTGCCGATTTCCTGCCAGATACCACATTTTTCACACCCTTTGATAGATATTTCAAACTGTTATTATACTGTGTGACCCTCAAAGCAAATTGTCAAACTTTATGCAGACTCTACCACTGTTGGAAAATGAATGATAATGCATCTGAAGGACTCAGTGGGATTACCATTTCGAGAGTGTTTTGCAGAACTCACCAAGGCTGCCTCCGAGTTCACGTCCTACTGAGAAATATGGAAAGAGTATATGGACTGTACAGTAATAATGTAGAAACCTTGGATAAAATGCCAGGACATTCTGTAAAGTGGAGGTCTTGTAGTCTTGTACTGTAGGTGGCAACAAAAAACACAAACATTTATGTCGCTTTGAAAGAAAGGAGGATGTCAAACTGTGCGGTTTTGAGAATTTCCCATCAAAAACAAATCTAAAGTTGTTTTTAGCTCTAGTTAGGCTAATAAGGCACTTTAATTGCAGGTCACCAACAACACACCGCTTTGAGACACACATTTCAAATCTGCCTCAGACACAACAAGACAGGAAATACTAAGACTATATCCAAATGAAAAAATACATTAAATACATTAAGAAAAAGTTGGACAGTGTGTCCTCAGCATTTGCAGAGTGAAGTTACATAGTAGTAGCAGGCCAATAAACCGTATTGGCTTATGTATTATTATTATTATTATAAGTAGTAGTAATAGTAGGCCTAGTAGTAGTAGTAGTAGTAGTAGGCGAAACAACTCCAAGATTAACGCCAAATCCCATTAACTGGTGAGAGATTTTAAAGACCATTAAGGGTTTTAAACTTGACCCATTATTTAAAACACCAGGAGGAAAAAAGAACGGTGCATTTTTACCCACTTTGGTTTGAACCTGAGCCTTTCTGCATTATCACTGCTCTAACACAATCCTTTGTAGCACCGTTGTTCTGCCACCAGGGGGCAGTGTTCCATAACAACACAACCTGACGTCCGCTTGAAACAAAAGACTCTCAATCATTTAAAAAGATAGAGCATGTTTTTTTTATTTAATTTAAAACAGTAACAAAAGCCTTTAGGAGGAGCGTGACAGAATTCCACATTTTCAATTAGAAAGTGAAAACAGCATAAAAAATCATCCGTTAATACATTGTTAATTTACTCAAAATATCTGAGCTACAATAAAGAAATCTCTTATATACCATTCAATTCTACAAGTAAAATCCCACGCTGCTTTTGAAATCAGCATGACGCAAAAAGTTCATAATTCTTCTAAAACAAGAGGTAGAGCTATATAAAAAATAATAATTAAAAAAAAAAAAAAACAGCATTTCCCTGCTACAGGAAAATAAAAATTAGTGTAACTGACCTCACGGCTCACTTTGTTTATTTGTCTTTCTCGATATTTTCTTGCCAAAAAAGTCCAGGGAGAAATGTCCAGGTCCATTTCCTTCTATGGCAACGTGTGGCAGGACTTGCATAGACGAGCAGGTGACAGCGTAGGCAGACGGTAGTGACCATTAACAGCATTAATACAAAAAAATAAGAATAGTTTTGTTCTATAGTTAAGACGACGCAGCCAAAATGACAAGCATAGATTCATCAGGGAGCATTTGAGTTTATCTAGATTTGAGTTGATGTGTGTCTTAATGGTTGACTCAAAATAGATCGTGGGAAACTATGTTATAATGTGTATGTTTTTATTTTACTTATTAGTCTGTAAGTTGTATTTATGTGATTCCTGCATGTTTGAGGCTCACACTGGCACTGCAGACACTTTCTATACAGCGACCTGGCTTCAAACAAACATTTCCTTTCTACATTTTCTTTGATTTGCTTCTGTTATTGATTTGAGTATTCCTTTATGGGCATGGATGTATTATATTACCCGGATAGTGGATTGCTTGCTTAAACAGGTCTCCAGCATGGATGGACAAGGGGCCACCTGCGGTACTGCAGCTTTAGTTCACATTACTTATGTTAAAGGTATATGGGAGGATTTTCTTCTTCCGGGTGGATCATCTAGACTATTGGTCCTCCTAAGTGTCAATCATTCTGGTGATATAGGAGACACGTTTTAAAGGGCAGTTCTTTGCTTAAATTTGGCAGAAATCTTCCTATACACCTTTAAGTTTAACCTCTAAATTCTGATTTTTCCCCATAGACCCCAATGTTAATAAAAAATGGCTCATTCTCACCAAACAGGGATATTACAGCTTATATAAAAGAATTTTGTGGGTTTTTTAGTGTCACTTCCTGTCCCTCTCTGTGATGCTGCTGCTCCAGCAGACCACACCGTACAAGATGGCTGATGCCACCACAGAGTCAGTCCCTTCTCATCCCTTTTTTTCCTTTTCAAATCCATCTGATTTCTTCAAATCCCACATTTTTGTCCCTTCTCATCCCTTTATTCCTATTTTCAAATCCATCTGTTTTCTGTAAATCCCACATTTTTGTCCAACAAACAAACAAACATGTCAACAGACAGGATCCCTCCACATTACATCTGCACATTACTTTTCCCAGTTTGGATAGTTTACCACCACCACCTCGCACTGAGCCAGGAGTAAGAGGCCTCTGCTCCGATAAACCTCTACGAGATACATACAGGTATTTTGGCACTGATGAAAAAAAAAAAAGTCACGTTTACGCAGCTGAAGTCTGGAGCAGTCTTGCTGAAAATGTGAGAGAAGCCTCTAGTCTCTGGCGTCGGGTGCACACTGACTTCTGATGTGGCACATGTTTAGATGGTGTTGACTGTGGTATGTACAATGTGTTGTAATGCAGTATAGTGTGTGTATAGTGTGTGTATAGTGTGGGTTTGACAAAAGCTGTAGAGATTTACTTGTTTGATAACCAGAAAACCAGATCGCTGCAGTGTGTGGTCAGTGTAACATTGCTTTTGGTTGTAATCACTTTCTATGGGGATTCCAAACTGGTGTGGCAAGTCCAGACCACTCTGCATAAAGTGATAAAAAACATTTGTCTAAATGTATTTGCCAATGAGACAAAGCAAGATGATGTCTCCCTTGGAATGAGAAAATTAAGCAGCAGCTTTTAAAATAAGACTGAATTACTTTCTCCCGTTGGTACATCTTGTTTTAAGACTGTTAGAATTTACTCAAATTAAGATAAAAACCAGCATTATTATTATTATTACTACCTCTTATTTTATCATTTTTTGCAGTGTGTCTTTGTAAGGCATAAGCACCGTCTCCCACACTCAATATGAAACTACTGCGGTTCTATTGGCAACCCCCCCTTTAAATCCAGATAAACTCGGCTTTAAAAGGTATACAGGAGGATTTTCCCAAATTTTAGGAAAGAACCGTCTCCTCTACTTGTTGAAAAAACTCTCTGGTCTTGTTTGTTATGCACGGATCACCAGAACGGTCCAATAGTCTTGATGAAGAAAATCCTCCTAAATACCTACAAGTATAACATGCATTTGTCATTGTTGCTGCAGTCCTTAAACAGTCCT